CCTTTTTTTTTTAATTGTGAGCTTGGACTATACAATGAGAAGTAACTATTTCGCATCTAAAGATACTACTCTATCTGTCTTCATTTGCTTTTTAGACAATGAATTTTGATATGTCAATGGAATGAAATTAGAAAAAGTCAAGTTATATCCTCTTTGTATTTCATTTATCATATTCTCGAATAATGAAAGCAAAATGTTAATTTAGACCTATAAATATTGATTAAATGTATATTTAAAGAAAAATTTTATAATTAATGTGTCATCTTATTTTAAATTTGATGAAAAAATATATTATATAAAAAATCTTAAATAGTATATTAAATAACCTTAACCTGTGTCACTGAGGGTTTCTTAGTAAGGGTATAATTTTCATTACAATATTGAGCGGAAAGGACCTAAGTTTGCCCTAAAGGTCTACAAGTAGACATGTGGAAATGAGAAAGTATATCATTGCTTCTCAAAAATTCGTCCCAAATTTGGGCTATATTTTCCTAGCCCATGATTTGTTGTTTACTTAATTTATTTTATGTTTACATTTTAATTGGTAAAATTGTTAAAAATAGTAACATGATAGAATTAAATTCCTATTTAAATAAATTTTATATTTAAAAATAGTAATTATTTAGGAAGAAATCTTTAAAAAAAGGTTTTTAGGAAAACTGCAAGTGGTAATTAACTGCAAATTTTCCAATGAAAGTAATTTTGAGACCTTACCAAAACTATTGGAAGGAATCCCAAAAGTTATTTTCACAAAGAAGACAACTCCTAAATAATTACACAAAAATGTCCATAATAAAACATTAAAATGGCAAAAAAATCTTAATTGAATAATGATATTTGTTTACATACCAATTTTGGAATTTTTATGAAGTTTGAGGTGACAATTTTCTAGAAAATTTCTAGGTATCTAAAGTTCTACAAGAAGTATTGGATAATTTGTAAAATTTTACAATACCAAAGGTTTTCATTTAATTTTTTAAAGAAAACATTAGCAAATTTTTTGTTCAAGAAATATTTAAAATATATATAGGATAAAAATGATGTAAAACTTTTTTAATAAAAAACAATAGGAATAAGAAGAAAGAATAATATATAATAAAAAAGAATAAAAATAAAAATATATCAGGTATAAAAATACATAAAATATAAATAAAAAAGGATGCAAATAGATAAAATTTTCCAATTATGGAATTTTTAAAAAGTTGCAAGTTACAATTTTCTCAAAAATTCCTAAGTAAGAAAATTCTTTTAAATTCTATCAAATGCGTTGGAGAATGAAGAAAAATTTCCATATCAAAGGTTGTCATTTATTTAATAATAATAAAAATAGGAAAAATGTATGAAAAGTCTTCAGAATAAAATTTAGGAAAGAGAACAAATGAAATAAGAAAGAATAAAAGATTTAATCCTAATCTTCTGCATAAATCATCCAATTACTCCAATGACGTGGAAACCTCTTCAAGAAAATAAATGATTTCTTGAATATCCCTAAAGTTAAGAGACTCTCTTTACTTTGGAACTTAGGAAAAGTCTCCAATATTTAAAAAAATGACTAAAAAAAGAAAAAATGAAAAAAAAAACAATGAGATGAAAGACAAAACAACAAAAAATGATAATTTAGGGGAATAAAATTAAATATAAACTCAGGGACTATTAGTCAAGAATATAAATACAATAGAACCTGATTAATTGATACTATTTTGAACGGATGTTGCGAAGATGCTTATCTTTTTTTGACGCGTAACTGTACATTTGATTCTAATTCTGATTTATAGACCTAAACTTACCTTTTTTTAATAAATTTAAATTAAATTAAGATTTCATTAGAAAGGATACATTTAATTACATTGACCAATCACATTTAAATAAAAAAGATTGATGATGATTTTTTTTAATTAGGGCGATCAAGTTCTGAGACTCATATGTTGCGACAATGGGTTTGATTTGATCATTACTCCTACTATTTGCTTTGTAGTTCTTAGACTCCTTTTAGTTATAATTTTAACCATTTGCATTTGTTTACGAAAAAATTATTATAAAATATAAATTGTATAAAGTAACAACATGATTGGTTTATGAACTACAAAATTAATAATAAACCAACTTTAACCTAATTATTCGATATAAAGTATAAATCACACAATTTATTTCTTAAAACAAATAAAAATTGTAGTTCTAACTACTATTAAAAATATTATTTGCTTACATCCAAACTTATTTTGGTAGTAAAAGTAACAATTAATATAAATTTGAATATCAAAATGACTCAAAAAAATTTTAATCATGTTTTTTTTTTAACTTGGAAGAAATACAATTTTAATTTTTAACTCTTGAAAATTGTTATTTCCATTTATAATATCCATACAAGTGTTTTACTTTTGTTTCCTAAAAAAAAAAAAGTAGAAATAAGACATAATATCTAGAAAAGTTATTAAACTATTTAAGAAAACTTAAATAAGCCTTTTTATTTCTATTATGTTCAATTAAGTATTTATATTTTTATTTGAAGCTAAATGAGTGCTTATAATTTTATTTTGAATTAAATAAGTATTTATGACTAATTGTTGACTTAGTCAAAATAACATTTGTCATTCTATGTTACGTAACGCTGACGTGGTATTAATATGATATGTTAATATATCATAATCGATAATAATGAGGTATATTGATCACTCTCCACATCAATGTCATATCAAGTCACATATAAAATGATAATGGATATTTTGATACATGACAATTAATCAACCATTAATCGTAAGAACTTATTTAATTTAAAATAAAAATATAAAAACTTGATTAAACATAATAAAAAACTAAAAATTAATTTGAATTTCTTAAATAGTTAAGGGAGTATTATGTCTAGAAATAACAACCAAATGTCATTTGATCATTACTTTTACAACTTGACTTTTACTGGAAAAGAAAAATTGTAGAAATTGTGTTCAATTATAAAAATAAATATTTTATTTGTCTCAAATGGAATGTTTATTTTTGAGTTCACAAGAAGATTAAAAATATCAATTTGACTTTAGCAGCTATTATGTTTTATTTCTTGGCCAAGAATTATTATGTTAAATTTAGCCTTTTTATTTTTGTCTAAAATTTATATATTCCATAGTTTTTAATACCAAAATGTAAAAAAACATATTAAAAAATAAAATAGAAAATGGATGAAATTAAAAAGAAAAATAGACAAGTTCCCGATATTTTTGAAGAATTAAAAATAAAAAAAACTGTTATTCTAAGTGATGTCACATTCTGATCATTATTTATTTTTAATTAATTATGATTTGCCGTTAACTTTTTTCTTTTGCTTTTTCATTTTGATAGTAACTTTGCAATAAGCAAAAACATAACAAAAATGAATAATAAAAACAACAGCCAAACAAAGCCTAATTTAACCTTGTTAGCCACTTGTTTAGTTC